AGTGTGTATGTTCATGTCTCCCATTACAATCAGTGGTGTTCCATCATCAGGGATTTCTGAGAGTAGCATGTCCAGTTCCACAACAAAATCATTCAGATTACACCCTGATGGGCGGTAAAAACATTTCTGATGAGTTTTTGAAATGCTGGGTTATTCTAACCTTTGGAGGCTTGAGGACTTCTCTGAAAAACAATGTGAAAGGATTTTCCAGATGGTTCAAATAAATCCTTTAAAGGCTTTATATGCGATTTTTCAAGTATATCCTCTGAAAATAACTCTGTGAGTCATGACTGTCTACAATGGGTGTAACACCTGAGTCCCACTGTCTGTGATGTTTTCAGAGTTTTCTGAGTCCTATCTTCACTTTGTTTACATCGCCCGGACGGCCGGCTGACTCCTCCCCTCGCATATAAAAGTTGTTTAATTGAGGGACTAGAGAAAAGAAGAATAACATACTGTACTAACTGCTTAACTGTGTTTCTAGATCACGCTCATTTCAGGTAAATTTACATGCAGTGTGAAGTCACGAGCTTAATAAAGATCACTAGCATTAGCATGCTAACACAACAATGCACCGCGAGTTGTTTTGGTTTCATGCTGGTGCTCAAGGGTGACATCTGCTGGATATAATGCCTTTAACCAGCATACGGGGAAAAAAAATTACTTTTATTTTTAAAAGGGTTTTCTTTATTAGCTTTTCTTTCATTTCAAATTGCCTTATATGTCATATTATGTCCTCAGGAGCCCCTCTGTCATGGGGATTCTTGTAGCTGATCGCAAGTTCTTTGGAGAGATCGGGAGCCTCGATGGTGGAATGAAAATATACGGTGGGGAAAATGTGGAGCTGGGCATCCGGGTAAGAGTACGAGGAGCATTATGCTATTGTTAGCATCACATTATTTACAGTAAGCAAAGCTAAAAATAAGTGATGAATTACCAGAATCAATAATGACATATTTAGCTGATGGCATGTTGTGTTGGACAGCGTTTCATGCATATTTCCTTTAACCAATGTTAACCATTGCTTAAAATAGTCTAAATGCACAACATCTGTGTCTTTAAAAATGCAGTTTAAATAACCTTTCATGTGTTGGCAGGTGTGGCTCTGTGGTGGAAGCATCGAAGTTATACCTTGCTCTAAAATCGCTCACATTGAACGGTATACCAAGCCTTACCTTCCTGACTTAAGTTCAATGGTAAAACGAAATGCACTGAGGGTTGCAGAGGTGTGGATGGATGAGTATAAAAATAATGTAAACCTTCTCTGGAACCTTCCCCCTGAGGTAAGGGACAGCATTTTATTACTCATATAAACTCCTACTTCCAAATAAACACATTTGACTTCATAAGAGTTTTCTTTTTCTCATATCCACAGAACCATGGGATAGATATTGGGAATGTGTCTGAGAGGAAAAAGCTGAGAGAGAAACTGAATTGCAAGCCCTTTAAATGGTATCTGGATCATGTTTACCCCATGTTGGATACTTTCAGTGACGTGCTAGCTTATGGAGTGGTGAGTAGTAGTATAACAGACAGGACGCCATTTAAAACTTGCAGAAGGCTTTGTACTGTAAGGGTTTGATCGAGTATATTTATCACCACCATAGTTATAGATAATAGATTAACTGAAAACAGATGTTTTTCTTTTACGGTTTTAAAAAAGTTCCTCTTTCAGGCGACACGTTTTGATAACAACCTCAAGTGGACGCTTGATGAACTGCAATTTTTTTGCACTTTTATATTGTTGTTTTTTTTTCCCAACAAGCAACTGGGAACAAGCGATGTAAATGAGAATTCTAACAGACTAAACTATCAATTATAACTACCTACAATTATAGCAGAGAAAATTAAAAAGGAAATTTAAAGGGGGAAAAATCATTTTTTCTCTTATTTTCAACAAATCCCATGAAAATACAAGAGAGACTCACCAAAGCACAAAGTGTTTATTAATCTACTGCAGGAAACACTTCCAAAATGATTCTCTGTTTGAGCAGCTACTGTTATAAAGTTAAAGTGCCATTTATCATTGAGATGTTTCTATAGGATTTAACTCTAGCAGGAAAACAAATAACTATGTGATGTACACTTTTGTCATCTTTCTGCATATACAGTTCAAGAATTTGTTTTTGGCTTTTCATGAGACTTGATTAGAAATAATTTGCATTCCTTTAAAGGGGTCATATTATGCTTTTTCTGGTTTTATATGCTCTTTAGTGTGTTTTCCAAGTGTCCTGTGCATGTTTAGGCACATCTATGTGCGTAAACGCGGCTTCTCCTACGTCCTCCTGTTAGCTGTAGCATTAGCTGCATGTAACGTTCGGTTCTAGCCCCCCTCGAAAAAAATTGGCCAGTGTGAGATCACTGATCTAATCCCATTGACTCGTTGTGGCAAGCCCAGCAGCTCATGTTGCAGGCCCATTAACTTCTGTAGCACGCCCACGATATGCCGTAGCCTGCGTTAGCACAGTAGTGCTAAGGTGCTAATGTTTTTGCTCTCCTCGGAGCCAAAGTGGCTGCATTCCCAATATGGTAAAAGGGCGTGACATTTCCGAGAACCCTGAACGTGGGCACTTCAGAGCCTTAGAGAGAGTCAGAAGCGAGCCGGTGCATGGAGCGGCAGTACATGAAAAGAGACACTTTTTTTCAAACTTTAGCTATTGTGAACATACTTTAGTAGGTACATAGATTAAATATATATGAACCCCAAAAAGGGCAGAATATGACCTCTTTAATTGTTCTTGTTGTTTGAGCCTCACAAGCAACATCATCAGTTTGTTGTATTGTTGTTTATAATGGATACTTTGAAGACTAACTTTGTGTTTTTGCCTCTGTTGACAGCTAAAAAATAAATTGAAGCCGGACCACTGTGTCGACCAAGGTCCAATGCCAGGAAACACACCCATTTTGTACCCATGCAATTACGCCTTCCCTCAGGTTTGATGAGAGATTCAACTGCTTGCAAAACAAACTTTTTGTTTTTGTTCCATTTTTTTGGGGATAAAACTTTTCTTTTGTGCAGCTCTGTTGCTATCGTGCTGATGGAAAAGTCTTCATTGGTGAACTCAAATCTCACACCTACAATAGCAACCGCTGTCTGGTGGATCCATCCAACGGCCTCTACCCGGGACTATACGAGTGCAAAACAGCTCAGAGGGAGAACTTCAACATGCTGTGGGACTTCAAACAGGTCGGTAATACAGTTTGTTTTTATAGTCTGGACAGGCCAGTCCAGAGGAAATGAATGATTTTATTCATGTGTGTTTTTATTCCCAGGGTGGACAAATCCGGAACAGAAAAACAAACAGATGTATTGAAGCTGCGATAGATGAAGACGGCTTGTACAAACTGTTGTTCAGACTGCACTGGTCAGAGCTGGACCATACAATATCCAGTCACAGAAACTTGGAAGGTTGGAGGGCAGAAAGACCAGAAAAGTCCTGAGCCAAAGATCAACAATGACTCCTTATCTTAGGGACGGTTTCAGTATTCTGCTCTGGACGACTTCAAGACATTGAAGAGAGAGACGAGAGACATTGTGAGCGGGATCCCTGCAATTCAAATTTTATTTTTGAACTTCCTTCTCTTTTTTTTTTTTAAATATCTTTATTGATTTTCTGATATACAAGTATATAACAAAAATTACTCAACAGCCTGTTGATTATGAAATGAGAAACATTACCTTAGATTTGTTTATGATTTATTTAACCTGAACCATTCACTGAAACTGTTTTGTTTACAAAGATTTACTTAATATGGCATCAAACTCAAAAACTTTTACCCACTTCCATAAGCTCAGCTCTGGTTTAAATTTAGAATTGATGTTGGTTTGTTTACAAGAGCGAAATCATTTAGCCCCTTAAACTCATTTACTGCATGTGTCCTGCAGATGGAACTTTATACCACTAGAGGTCCCCATGTCTAGAGTTTAAGTTAATCCTGCTGCAGACTTGGTTTAACTGAGGTTTAACTTAAACTTGCACGCCTAAATCATTGTTCCAACTTATTTAAATTAAATTATTGAGTTCCACTGTTTTCAGAGAGTTAAATGGGACAAACAAGATAAGGACTATAAAGAGTTAAAGGTTCCTAAAACATTAATGGTTAAAAAATGCCCACCACCCTCAAATCTGTATAGTCTAATTGGAAGCATTCACTGATATTAATTGCTTTTTAATTAGAATGTTTAATCAGTGATACATGTATTTTCAGACTGCATTATTGGATTACCATGTGATGTTTACTGTATGTTGGGAGAACTGGCGAAACATAGATGTATATGTCACCATCTGTAAATGCAGTTATTTCAATTGAAACTTATGCTTTCATTTCTTTCATCCATCAAGTCACTTGATATTAGATCTGAACCGGAAGAGTTGTCTGGCTGATCCACTTGTTGATCACTTTCAGGATTCCAGTTATATCTTTTGGTTTTGGTCTAAATGAGATATTTTGTACTTTTTTACAATTGTGTTAACAATTTTCCAGCATGTGCAAATCAACCACATTTGTAAACATTTGTTTTTAAAGGTGCTATATAAATAAATATATTATTATTTTTTATTTTTATTTTATTGTATTCTATTTTATTTTATTGTATTTATTATTATTATTATTGGTATTATTATTTTTAATTATTATTATTATTATTATTAATTTATTATTATTATTATTATTATTATTGGTATTATTATTATTATTTTTTTTTATTATTATTATTATTATTATTATCTTAAGGGGAAACTTCTTGCTTTTTTCCGGGAGCAGGTGTAGATGCGTTTGGCGTTTTGGCTGCATGTCTATTCCCAACACATTGACCTGCTGTGTCCGGGCCGGGCATCAGGAGTTTTCTTGTTTTCCCCCGTAGTCTGTCTCTTATCTTCTGCATGAGAGCAAGACTTAACAGTTTTTTCCTCACACCGACCTTTCCGGTGCGCACGATAAAACGATAATCTTTCCTTCCCATGTCCCTTTAGGGGCTCCGTAGTACGCGTAGAAATCAGAGGCAGGTGAATTGCTGCTCCTCCTTTCTCTCAGTGTGAAGCGAAGACACTCACCGGAGCGGCGAAATGAGACCTGGTGGGATTAAATTAGCACTTCTCCTCCTGTTGGCCGGCAGCACGGCTCTGTGTTACCTGTTCTCTATGAAGGTAGATATGTTGCGCGTGGGGGGAATTGGCCAATCAGAAGTAAACTTCCAGTGAATGCACTTTATATATTCACCACAATCACAAACTACAATATAGTACAACACTTGCATTATCAGTATAAACACTATAACGACTTTTAAAGAAGAAACTATATAATTCGCAAGGGATTGTGGGATAGGTAGTCCCTTGACTCAGGACAAAAAATATGTACACAGTCTTGTATCTTTGCCCTTTTCTCCGTTTTTTCGATGCCGTTTTGGCGCCGAATTAAATGTACTATAGTCACAAGTATTGGGGTGGTTTGGTTGTCTCGGTTTCAGTCACCAATCTCTTCATATAAGAATTTTGTGAAAAATCAATGGAGGATTTGAATGCGGAAATTTACTTCTGATTGGCCAATTCCCCCTACACGCAGACACACAGCGAGAGGAGGAGGGAGGGGGAGAGGGGCATTTCTACAAATACACATTTTTACATACTTTTTACACAAGTTCACTTCCTTCAAGCTCTCATCACATTCTACAAGCTCTCCTATTTTGCAACATATCTACCTTCATAGTTCTCCATCAAAAGCGAAGTCCCCATCCACTCGGAGAGGCCGCAGAGGCCACTCAAGAATGACTCCATCAGGAGTTGGGGGATGCTCGAGAGGATGGAGAGGATGGAGGCAGACATCAACAGGCTGTGTGAGTCCTTTTAGAAGAAAAATAAACGAGTACATGTCTCTGATGTGGGGTTATTAGGTTTACTTGTTTTAAAAGTAATGATACTTTAAACCAAGTTTTAAATAGTTTTGTGATTAATACGTTGAGGAAGTAGTCGACGTAATCTGTGCTGGATTTGAGTGTGGTTGAAATCACTACTTTTACTTGAGTGCTGATTTTGAGTAAAAGTTTGAGTAACTCGTACTTCACTTAAAATGTTCCACCTTTTTTTTCATTTCTGAAAAAATCTTTGATTCTTCTCAAGGAGGTTTCAGGTTCGAATCCCTGTTGGACAGTAGCCTCTCTGTGTGGAGTTTGCATGTTTCTCACTGTGCATGCGTGGGTTCTCTCCGGGTACTCCGGCTTCCTCCCCACAGTCCAAAGACATGCTCATTAGGTGAACTGGTGACTCTAAATTGCCCCTAGGTGTGAATGTGAGCGTGGCTTGTTCTCTGTCTCTATATGTCAGCTCTGTGATTGGGTGGTGAACAGTCCAGGGTGTACAGTCCCGCCTCCCGAATGGGGAAAAAAGCGGTATAGATAATGGATGGATAGGACAGTGGATAGAGTAGGAAACAGGGGGCCAACTTACAGGACTACAGCCTCCTAAATGGAGCGTGACCTAATCACATAAGGCCAAGAACAATGAGTTGACCATGATAAATAAATTTAAGTAAGATAAAGCAGATCCAAGGGAGTATTTTAAAATTACTGTCCAATGAATGCCCACTTGATTGATTGGTTGTTTCTGTGACTTTGAAACGTTCACTTCACCATACCAGACCTGACATCTTGTGTTGATTAACTAGCTCATGTAGCATTAACCTGAACAATATTAACCCCGACCACACCCCCCCCCTCCTGTAAAAACAAACACAGACAGTTGTTAAAGAAAAATTAGAAATGTTTCTTTTGTCTCACTGTTTGTTCATTCCCCTCCCAAAGAAGTGAAGTTTAAACAAGTCTCTCTTGTCTTTAGTGACCCTGGTGAGTAAATTTGAAGAGAGCAAACCGGTGGCAGAGAAGACAACACAGGTGAAGATGGAGAAGAAGGGGTCGGTGAGGAAACTTTACCCCAACTCGCCTCTGTTCAAAAAGTGGGGTGACGAGCTGTCGGAGGAGGAGCAGAAGGAGGCTGAGGAGTTGTTTCAGAGTTACGGCTACAACGCCTTCCTCAGTGACCGGCTGCAACCCAACAGACCAATCCCGGACACCAGACCCAAAGGGTGAGTCACCATGTTACCCACACTCTTAAGGTCTTACTTTTAAAACTCCCTCAGTTCCTACACCTTTGTAGATCTGTGTGCACATTTTCGATCTATTTAACTAATTATTGATCAATGACATCGCCATCAAAACTGCCCTCAACAGAAAAAAAAAACTGCAATATTTTTCCTTTCCACAGGTGTACTGAGAAAAAATACCCAGAGGATCTTCCCAGCGTCAGTGTTATCTTAATCTACCTGAACGAGGCTCTCTCCATCATTAAAAGGGCGATCCGCAGCATCATAGACAAGACACCAGCTCGGCTGCTAAAAGAAATCATACTGGTGGACGATCACAGCAGCAACGGTGGGTCTGCCTGTTTTTAGCTTTCAATCTAGTAGCAGTCTGTTGTAGATTAGATGTGGTCGTCCAGAATAGTTCACTATAATATTATCTTTATCTTCCAGAGGATTTAATGGGCAAACTGGATGAATACATCATCTCCATCCATGAGGTACGTCCAGGCCTGGTGAAGAGAGTCCGGCATTCACAGCAGCTCGGACTCACCCAGGCAAGACTGTCTGGGTGGGAGGCTGCTGTCGGGGACGTGGTGGCCATCTTGGATGCTCACATTGAAGTCCATGTGCAGTGGTTGGTTTAAGTGTTGAGTGGTCTCAGTTGTTACAGTTCAGTTTTTCTCTCAGGGTTGATAGAGATTATAAAACCTGTGATCCCTCTTTATGCTTTGTGTGTCCAGGGTAGAGCCACTGTTAGCTCGCATTAAGGAGGATCGAACTGTCATACTGACACCAGTGTTTGACAATGTCCAATTTGATGACTTGATACTGAGTCTATACGGAACATCTGCACAGGGCTTTGACTGGGCTCTGTGGTGCCTGTATGAATCCTTCAGACCTGAGTGGTACGCTCTGAACGACGAGTCACAACCTGGAAAGTAAGTTTCTCTTCTTAAGAGTAAATTTAACCAAAAAAACAAATAAAAAGTTTTAGTTTAACCTTTTTAAATTTCTTCCACAGAATTAGCCAAAGTTGATTAAGACTCATTTTTGTTTGATGAAATGCAGCTGGGGGAGTGAGTTAGCGTGCTTTCAAGCTAGCTAGCTTGAAACACATGGGTCCCAATGTCCATTCCACTGTGGGGGCTCCTGTCTTAGCTTTATGTATTTCCGTGTAACTCAAGGAGCAACACAGGTCTCAGATACAAACACTACCCAGATGTTGTTTTGCACATTATAAGGGGAGCAGCGCTGACCTTTGTCCCAAATATGTCAGACACCTCATATTTCCCCCCTTTGAGACAACAGTCTTGAAAAAGAGAAAAATTATATAATTGTGATGTTAATTGGCCTCATAAGAATCACATAATAACACACACAGAATGCTCATGATATACCCTTCTGTCCATGCTTAACCTTAGCAATATAGTAAATTTAGGGACTGTGAGAGCGAAAAACCCATCAGGCAGTTTTTTTTCTTATTATATCCATCAAAAAATCTAGACAGGAAAACTCTCTCACGGTCCCTCTGCCCCAGGCAACCACATATAGTACAAACTAATTTTAAAAAGAAGGGTTCTGAAAACTTTATAGAATGATATGTAAATGCATACGTTTAGAACCTCAGAAATAAAATCAAAAAATTGTCCAAAATCGGGCTGGTCGACACATCGCACCTTCCAATGGACTTTTCCCTACCTAACACCACTATCTACTAGGACCAAGGAAAAAAAAGAAAACACCTGAGGTCCCAATGTATATATTTTATACAGTTCCAGAAAACTCCAATACTAAACCACAGTAATATGTCTCTCTAAAAATATCTAGTATAGAGTAAAAAGTACAGAATATTTATCAATAATACAAGTTACTTTGTAATAAACAAAATCCAGTACTATAAAAACATGCAGGAAACATACATATATATCAAACTGTTGCTTTTTAGCAGCATTAGCTTCTACTGTAATAATTCTTTTCCCATCTCTATGACCTCCTTGTCTTCGCTTAGGTCATTACCACTCAGTCACAGCATCTGAACATTTCCTCCCGGCATTACAACTCCTACCCATCTCAATATCATAGCCTTAGCAAAGGTCAACAACAGTGTACAAAAACAAAACATCACACACAGTGATAGAAGAGCAGCCACCAGAATCTGAACCACTATAGCTCCTACTGATCCTAATTCTTCTTGCAAACAAGCACTAGCAGACCATCCTTCTGATGGGCCAAACGAATCCCTTATAAGTTTCAACGCATCTATGACACTAGTCATGTTGTCAGGGCATCAGGGATCAAAGTATGACAGGCGTCGCCGGTCAAATTTCAAGCCACACAGAGGCCACCATGTTTGGCCAAAATATAATCAAGAGCCATGTCATGTTTCAACAACGTCAATCGATGACTCCTGAGTATTTGACAAATATTCAAAACCACTTATGGTCTCATTTGCAAAACCTTGCAGGGTATATGTAATATTATCAATATGATCAGCTAAGAATGTAACACCATACCATGGAAACAATCCTATACCCCATTTCTCTCCCAAACTTATCCTCCAATGATAAGCCTCCAAATTGTGAAATTGTGCCAAATCTCTTTTCTTTCTACTTCTAGAGACCTTCATAGAGTTAACCTTATCAGGCCCTTGTCCCTTCTGAATAAGAAAAACATCATACGGTAGTTTCAACTGTGCCATTTAACAACATCCAACCCAACCATATGGTAGAAATAAGTATGCCTTACTGCCACGAATATCTTTAAATGTTCCTATGGTAAAATTACCCGGTAAAGTTTGATTCTTTACGCTTAGAGTTATACTCTGTAGGTGACGTGGTGCATGAAAGGTCACTGTATACGCGTCATCAACAGCCCTTTGATCACTTTGTCCAAATTGCATCATATAGCTATCACATTCTGATATTCCCATAAACATACCATCTCCACCATGAGTACCATTTGAACAAAAACAAGATCTAACCTTCACAGGTGTCACTTCCATAGGATCAGGGACTGCTGTTGAAATAGCTTCATACTGATAAAGAAGATTTACATATGATAATTCCCTCAACTAAGAACAAACACCTCAAGGTTTATATAGATGCACCTACAAGGCCATCCAAGCATCCCTTTCCGCTTGTTGCTTAAATAACAGCCACGATAACGCATCTTTTTGACATTCAGAAGTCAAAGGTTCCGGTACCGTCTCTAGAATTGAAGGCCATGTGTGGTGAGTGTTGGAACTCTCACCACACACGGACAATTCAAATTACTAGCCAATCTAACAGAGTGAGTCAACTGCTGGAACCACATATTCCTACTTGCCCACGGGTCTGCAATTTGCAACACCGAGGAATCAAACCCATAAGCTTTCCACTGGGTTTCTCGCTTCTCTAATGCATGAAGATGTTTAGTCATGCCTTCTGATGTTCCGTCAGCATCTATAAAATCATCGACCACATCCGACATAGTCATCTGGACTGTTTCAGCTGAATTCATATCAGTCTTCTCAGCAATTGGTTCCCTAAATTCAGATCTCTCCCTGCTATTATTCAAACTAGCTTCCAACTCTAACATATGCTTCTGATTTATATTTACCAACTCCTTAAATAATAAAGATGTAGTGACAGATGTCAACGTCATACCTACAGACTTTGTAGACACCGAAGAGCTCGTCATTGTTTTATTGGTAGTGTATCCCATCTTCACAACCTCGCTTGTAAAATTACTCGCAGGAACAGAAGTAGAAATTGTCATCATAGCTGTTGTAACATTCTTTTCTACCAAAGTCGTTGCGAGGGTAGTAACCAAGTTGATACGTTAATACTACTAGTTATTCTCTGAGCTACAGTAGTAGACATCATCTGTCCCAAAAACCATACTCTTTCGTAATTTTTCTCCTATCTTCCCCCTTGCAACATGGGTTAAACCATGTGCTTCCTGAATCATCAGACCTAGCAGGTCTGGGGGCACTACCATCAGCCCTTCATGATTTCTCCACAGGCCAATAGAATCCTGAGTGGTCCCTCTGTCTATCCATAATTGTTTATCCATCGCAGAAGCAACTTCTTGTATCGAGACCACATCTCTGAGCGTAATTTTATCTTCCAAGTCCACCTCATGGGTGACCAGAAGAACCTTGCCCGATTTGTTTGCTCCTGTAACTGCCTTTGCAGCCTCATCAGCCGCTTTGTTACCTTGTGTGACCCTTGACATGTCCGTTTTGTGTGCCGCACAAAATAATAGCTAATAGCTACTGCTATTTCTTTCGGCTTTATCATCGCATGCAACAATTTCATTATCTGAGCATGATGCTGTATCGGAGAACCATCTGTTTTCTTAAACCCTCGATTCTTCCACAGTGATCCAAATAAGTGACACACATTATGTGCATACGCAGAATCTGTATATATTGTCACCCGCTTGCCTTCGGCCAACAGACATGCTTCAGTCAGCCCCACAAGCTCAGCAAGCTGCGCAGATGCAGGTTGTGGTATTTCTTCTGCTTTCTCAACAACAAATTCAGTTCCCTGGGCTTTGACTACCATAACTTTGCATAACCAGCACTCAATGCATCACCTACTCGATAGCAGGACCCATCAGTCCAATACTCCACATCTGACTCATGCAGTGGAAGAGCTTGCAAATCCGACCTGAGCTTCGAACATCTCTCTACTTACTTTACTTTCACTATTCAACCTTTACAATTTGTCCCAAATATGTCAGACACCTCAGTAGCTATAGGCTAGGTCACTACTCCAAGCTGAGGAGAAGTCAAACAGAAGACTCAGATTTTAATACGTATTAACCATGCGCAAACATGCCAACTGATGAGTTTTTGACATGCTGGGTTATTCTAACCTTTGGAGGCTTGAGGACTTCTCTGAAAAACAATGTGAAAGGATTTTTTTCAGATTGTTCAAATGAATCATTTAACCAGCAAACAGGGGAAAAAGTGTACTTTATTCTTAAAAGGGTTTTCTTTAATTTCAAATTGCTTAATATGTCATATTATGTCCTCAGGAGCCCCTCTATCATGGGGATGCTTGTAGCTGATCGCAAGTTCTTTGGAGAAATCGGGAGCCTCGATGGTGGAATGAAAATATACGGTGGGGAAAATGTGGAGCTGGGCATCCGGGTAAGAAAACGCGGAGCATTATGCTATTGTTAGCATCACATTATTTACAGTAAGCAAGACTAAAAATAAGTGATGAATTACCAGAATCAATAATGACATATTTAGCTGATGGCATGTTGTGTTGGACAGCGTTTCATGCATATTTCCTTTAACCAATGTTAACCATTGCTTAAAATAGTCTAAATGCACAACATCTGTGTCTTTAAAAATGCAGTTTAAATAACCTTTCATGTGTTGGCAGGTGTGGCTCTGTGGTGGAAGCATCGAAGTTATACCTTGCTCTAAAATCGCTCACATTGAACGGTATCACAAGCCTTACCTTCCTGACTTAAGTTCAATGGTAAAACGAAATGCACTGAGGGTTGCGGAGGTGTGGATGGATGATTATAAAAATAATGTAAACCTTTTCTGGAACCTTCCCCTTGAGGTAAGGGACAACATTTTATTACTTGTACAAACTGGTTCCAAATGAACACATTTGACTTCATAAGAGTTTTATCTCATATCCACAGAACCATGGGATAGATATTGGGGATGTGTCAGAGAGGAAAAAGCTGAGAGAGAAACTGAATTGCAAGCCCTTTAAATGGTATCTGGATCATGTTTACCCCATGTTGGATAATTTCAGTGACGTGCTAGCTTATGGAGTGGTGAGTAGACGCTTTACAGGACGCTATTTAAAAAAAAGACCACGTTTATGCGAGAACGATTTATTGAAAACAGACGTTTTTCTTTTTCGGTTTTAAAAAAGTTCCTCTTTCAGGCGACACGTTTTCATAACAACCTCAAGAGGACGCTTGATGAACTGCAATTTTTTGCATTTTTTTTCGCATCAGGTTTTTGTTTTTTCCCAACAAACAACTGGGAACAAGCGATGTAAATGAGAATGCTAACAGACTAAACTATCGATTATAACTACCTACAATTATAGCAGAGAAAATTAAAAAGGAAGTTTAGGGGGAAAAAAAACATTTTTTTCTCTTATTTTCAACAAATCCCATGAAAATACAAGAGAGACTCACCAAAGCACAAAGTGTTTATTAATCTACTGCAGGAAACTCTTCCAAAATCTTTCTCTGTTTGAGCAGCTACTGTTATAAAGTTAAAGTGCCATTTATCATTGAGATGTTTCTATTGGATTTAACTCTAGCAGGGAAACAAATAACGATGTGATGTACACTTTTGTCATCTTTCTGCATATGCAGTACAGGAATCTGTTTTTGGCTTTTCATGAGATTTGATTAGAAAATAATAATTTCCATTCCTTTAATTGCACTCGTGGTTTGAGCCTCACAAGCGACATCATCAGTTTGTTGTATTGTTTATAATGGATACTTTGACGACTAACTTTGTGTTTTTGCCTCTGTTGACAGCTAAAAAATGAATTGAAGCCAGATCTCTGTGTCGACCAAGGTCAGATGCCAGGAAACAAACCCATTTTTTACTCATGCAATTACGCCTCCCCTCAGGTTTGATGAGAGATTCAACTGCTTGCAAACAAACTTTTTGCTTTTGTTCCAATTTTTTTCCCGTATAAAACTTTTCTTTTGTGCAGCTCTGTTGCTATCGTGCTGATGGAAAAGTCTTCATTGGTGAACTCAAATCTCACACGTACGATAGCAACCGCTGTCTGGTGGATCCATCCAACGGCCTCTACCCGGGACTATATGAGTGCGAAACAGCTCGGGTGGAGAATTTCAACATGCTGTGGGACTTCAAACAGGTCGGTAATACAGTTTTGTTTTTTTCCAGAGGAAATGAATGATTTTATTCATGTGTGTTTTTATTCCCAGGGTGGACAAATCCGGAACAGAAAAACAAACAGATGTATTGAAGCTGCGATAGATGAAGACGGCTTGTACAAACTTGTTGTTCAGAACTGCACTGGTCAGAGCTGGACCATACAACACCTAGTCACAGAAACCTGGAAGGTTGGAGGGCAGAAAGACCAGAAAAGTCCTGAGCCAAAGATCAACAATGACTCCTTGTCTTAGGGACGGTTTCAGTATTCTGCTCTGGACGACTTGAGACTTATAGGAGAGACATTGTGCGCTGGATCCCTGCAATTACATTTTTTATTTTTAACTTGATTTTTTTTGATGAATGTTACCAATGTTGTGGCGTTCTGTAATGATTATAGTTTTTGTTCTGAATTCAAAAAGTCCTTCATGAATACTCAGATGAAGGTTCAGGATTTGTCTGTAATTCATCAGGAGGTTCAACTCGTTGTTCTATTGTCCTCATCAGTATATCCTCTCCAACGATGTCATTTGTTTTTAACTCTCTCGTGCATGTTTCTCCAAGGATCCAGTGAAGAGTTCAAATAAAGTCTGCCGGTTGCCTCTAGATGTTTGCTACGTCTTTATACTGTTAAAAAACATCTTTCAAGTCAAACAGGATCCATAGAGATTTTGCTGGTCATGAATGATCAACGATGAAAGCGTCCCATTTCTTCTGCCACATGGCGAGACCGGTTTCCTTCAGATGAGCTGGCAGGGAGCTGAACCTGCAGGAGACAGAATAATATCCTTAAACTGTGAATTCATTTTAATGCAGTAAAGTTGAAAGGTTAATTCTTCTTCTACTACATATCCATGTATCCCGAGTATTTCACTTATGCTCATTGTAACAAAGAAAAATATCTATGGACACTTGAGATAAAGATCCACGACTCTCACCTGATAGAGTTAGCGGCAAGCTCTTTCAGAGTGCCCAGATTTGCTTTCAGCCCTCCGATGCCAACGAAGGCTTGATAAAAGTCGTAGACGAGGCCTGTGGTTCCGAACATTGACGGGTCGTCAGAGCTGATCACCATGGGGTGGCCCTCCGACATCAGCACAGCTGCAGGGTGGTTCCGGAGGTCGGACACCAGCTTCAGCACCTGAAGGTGGGACGTTAAAAAACAACCAGGTAATAAAATACACAAAGACAATCATGAAGACGCTAAATTCAAATATGTATACTTTAACTGAAAGAGTTTTGGATTGATTTGATTAAAGTGATTGAGGTATGTCCAAATCCAGAAGGGACCATAACCAAACTTTGTGGAGACTTCTGAAGAGGCTGCTTTTTTGGGTTTGATTTATTCTGTAAGTCTTCAAAGGCAGAGGTTGTGTCCTTGATTTGGGATTTTATTTCACTTAACATTCTGACAATACAACTGCAGAAGATCCCTTTTTGTGTAAGATGTGTGGGCTTATTCTGCTTGTCCAGAGGTTTTGCTTAGCATGTTAAATTAGGCCACTTTTACATATATAATTTGCCAATGATGATGTGTTTTCTGACCTGGTTTGAGATGGGGCACAGCTCCACAGCCACGTTCCTTTTCCTAGAAAGCTCTTTGGCCAGTGGATGGTGTGCCAAAGCATAGCCGTGCCCAATGCGTGTGGTGTTGAACAGAAGGGCGTCAAGGATGTTTTGATCCACAGCTGTGCCTTCATCATCTGGAAGCAGATATACAAGAAAAAAAGTATATTTTTTGGAAAACTTTTTAAAGTAATAATTGTGTTTTTATTTTGCCTTTAATCCGCTCACCTGTCTCCCCTGCATGAAAGAAGTACGGTAGTGTGACACCCAGTTCAGCGGGCAGAGAGAGGGCCTCCCTGAAGAACCAAAGAGTCCTCCCACTGTCCTCCCTGCCGACCTGCCGAACCAACAAGACAAATCATTTCTACAAAACAAACGCTAAGGATGTTTAAAAAAAGTTCATCAAGACTGATCGCTTCCCCACCATGTCAAATCCTGCAACAACATCTGGGAAGTCCTTCTGCAGCTGGATGGCCTCTTTCACCGCCGCTTTGACATCAGATACACCCAAAGCCCTAAAGAACAACATGTGTTATAGACAGAGAAGCTAGTAAATGAGACAAACATTTTATGATATGTAAAATTAAATGGAATATGTCTACTTAAAGTTTTTATCCCTGTGAAGTTTTTTTTTTAACCAGTCAATACGATACGCCTACCTGTGTACAGAAATTATGATGCGGGCCCCGAGAAAGTCAGGATGATCTTCGGTAAATTTCTTTGTAACTTCTTGAAACATTTTCACAGTCCAGACCTTATCATGGATGGTTCCATCGAGCTCGTATGTCTGAAACACATTAAGAGGTTTATCATTTTACAACACGGATATATTAGATCGATACTACTGATTTTGTGGTCCTTAGAGGCTTTATATGCAATTTTTTTGATCCAGCAGATGTCGCCCTTGAGCACCAGCATGAAACCAAAACAACTTGCGGTGCATTGTTGTGTTAGCATGCTAATGCTAGCGATCTTTATTATGCTCGTATCTTCACACTGCTTGTAAATTTACCTGAAATGAGCGTGATCTAGAAACACAGTTAAGCAGTGAGTACAGTATGTTATTCTTCTTTTCTCTAGTCCCTCAATTAAACAACTTTTATATGCGAGGGGAGGAGTCAGCCGGCCGGCCCGACGATGTAAACAAACTGAAGATAGGACTCGGAAAGCATCACAGACAGTGGGACTCAGGTGTTACACCCATTGTAGACAGTCATGACTCACAGTTATTTTCAGAGGATATATTGGATTTCTATTACATTTAAGTGTGAAAAATCGCATATAAAGCCTTTAAGGAGATGGGGATTAAAAAAAACTCAAACCCTTGAGAGACCGCTCCTGAGTTCCAGATACATGATGTTGTCATGCAAAAGCTCTCCCAGGCCCTTGTAGAAGTATTCCCTTAGCACAGGGGCATGTGTGATCAGCCCTGCAGTAGCAATGAAGGCTTTCTCAAACTTCTGCCACACAACATCCTGGTTAGGGTACGCTCCCTCTGGATCCTCAGTGAAGAGTGTGAGGTGCTGCATTAAACTGAAAAGCACCCAAAGGTTATGTTCTCTCATCATATTGTTATTAAAACATGTGAAGGACAGGGGTTTCTCACACTACCTGTTATCAAAGAGAGTAGGGTCTCTTATTTTTGCTCTCAAGGTTTGAAGTAGCTGCCAATAGAAGCAGTCCCACCGTGGAAAGGGCTGGCGGTCAGAGAAGAAAAAGCGGACCGAGTTGTCCCATGTGAAGCAGATGTAGCAGTTTGGCCTGTAGGTGATGTTTTTCACCAGCCACTCGACATTGACCAAAGTGGAGCTGTGGATGTGGAGGGCTGCACCTGTCACCAAAACATCATGATACTGTATGAGCTCAATCTCTGGCTACATATGTATGTATGGCATTTTTTCTAATTATGTATGAATGTAAGTATAAAATGTATTTGATAAATGAAAGTATGTATGAGCTTTTTTTTCCCTCAGATTTCTGGATGAAAATATTTGTTGTGTATGTAAGTATTACGCTTTTATGTACGTATGAAAAATGTATGTATGTATGAAAAAGGTATTTGATTAATGTATGTATGATGTTTTTTTTTCTCGATGTATGTAGCCTATGTGTAAAATGTTTCCCATGTATTTATAAATGTATTGATTATTAATCAGTGAATATGTGTATGTATAAAATTCTTTCTATGTAGCCTATGTATGTACAGAATATACTTTTTCTGTCTATAGAAATGACTTTATTCTACAGTGTGTATGACGTCAGTTATTGTCTTGATGTCTATATGTATGTGTGTATGTAGGCCTATGTATTATTATTCTCTTAGTGTATACACGATTGTATGTAAACATTTACGTTTCTGTATGTATGTAGGCTTGTATGTATTGTGTTTTATTAATTTTGACCTAAGTATGTATGTCGTTTTTTTCGTGTAAAGAAGGTAATGATTCCACTTGCCATCACTTGGCATAGAATGTCTTTATTTGACTATTTCTATTGTTTAAATACTGTTTAAAATTTATATTTTTCCATTTAACATGTTTGAGAGAATCTCCAAAATGATTGTAAAACTTTTCTGTGATCATATGTTTTTGAGTCAAATGTAACTTCAGATCTCCGTGGTGTAGCTTGCTTAACAGTTAGCTCAATTTTTTTTTTTTTAATGTTTTAGCAATGTTGGAGCTTATTACTAGAAGAGTGGCTGTGAGAGACCGTATGTGCTTCTGTTGTTATCAGATTAAACGGCGTGCTGGTGCCAAAATTGAAAATGTTTGCTTGATTCATCACAACGCAAGAGAGAGACATAAACCACTACATATGTATGTCGCTTTATTCGACATAGGTATGTGTGTCGTTTTTCGTTTTTATCGACATAGGTATGTATGTCGTTTTTTCATTTATATTGAAATAGGTATGTATGTTGTTTTTATCGACATAGGTATGCATTTTGTTTTTTCATTTTTATCGACATAGGTATGTATGTCGTTTTTTCATTTTATCGACATAGGTATGTATGTCATTTTTTCATTTTTATCGACATAGGTATGTATGTCATTTTTTCATTTCTATCGACATAGGTATGTATGTCGTTTTTTCATTTTATCGACATAGGTATGTATGTCATTTTTTCATTTTTATCGACATAGGTATGTATGTCATTTTTTCATTTCTATCGACATAGGTATGTATGTCGTTTTTTCATTTTATCGACATAGGTATGTATGTCGTTTTTTCATTTTTATCGACATAGGTATGTATGTCATTTTTTCATTTTTATCGACATAGGTATGTATGTCGTTTTTTCATTTCTATCGACATAGGTATGTATGTCGTTTTTCATTTTTATCGACATGTATGTCGTTTTTTCGACATAGGTATGTATGTCGTTTTTTCATTTTTATCGACATAGGTATGTATGTCGCTTTATTCGACATAGGTATGTATGTCGTTTTTTCATTTTTATCGACATGTATGTCGTTTTTTCGACATAGGTATGTATGTCATTTTTTCATTTTTATCGACATAGGTATGTATGTCGCTTTATTCGACATAGGTATGTATGTCGTTTTTCAGGGTTTTTTTTGACATAGGTATGTATGTATGTCGTTTTTTCATTTTATCGACATAGGTATGTATGTCGTTTTTTCGTTTCTATCGACATAGGTATGTATGTCGTTTTTTTCGACATAGGTATGTATGTCGTTTTTTCATTTCTATCGACATAGGTATGTATGTCGTTTTTATCGACATAGGTATGTATGTCGTTTTTTCATTTATATTGAAATAGGTATGTATGTTGTTTTATTCGACATAGGTATGAATGTTGTTTTTTCGTATGTATTGAAATAGGTATGTATGTTGTTTTTATCGACATAGGTATGCATTGTTTTTTTCATTTTTATCGACATAGGTATGTATGTCGTTTTTTCATTTTATCGACATAGGTATGTATGTCATTTTTTCATTTTTATCGACATAGGTATGTATGTCATTTTTTCATTTCTATCGACATAGGTATGTATGTCGTTTTTTCATTTTATCGACATAGGTATGTATGTCGTTTTTTTCATTTTTATCGACATAGGTATGTATGTCGTTTTTTTCATTTCTATCGACATAGGTATGTATGTCGCTTTATTCGACATAGGTATGTATGTCGTTTTTTCATTTTTATCGACATGTATGTCGTTTTTCAGGTTTTTTTTTGACATAGGTATGTATGTATGTCGTTTTTTTCATTTTATCGACATAGGTATGTATGTCGTTTTTTCGTTTCTATCGACATAGGTATGTATGTCGTTTTTTTCGACATAGGTATGTATGTCGTTTTTTCATTTCTATCGACATAGGTATGTATGTCGTTTTTTCTGGGTTTTATCGAAATAGGTATGTATGTCATTTTATTCGACATAGGTATGAATGTTGTTTTTCGTTTATATTGAAATAGGTATGTATGTTGTTTTTATCGACATAGGTATGCATTTTGTTTTTTCGTTTTTTGACATAGGTATGTATGTCGTTTTTTCTGGGTTTTATCGAAATAGGTATGTATGTCATTTTATTCGACATAGGTATGAATGTTGTTTTTTCGTTTATATTGAAATAGGTATGTATGTCGTTTTTTCATTTTTATCGACATGTATGTCGTTTTTTCGACATAGGTATGTATGTCATTTTTTCATTTTTATCGACATAGGTATGTATGTCGCTTTATTCGACATAGGTATGTATGTCGTTTTTTCAGGGTTTTTTTGACATAGGTATGTATGTATGTCGTTTTTTCATTTTATCGACATAGGTATGTATGTCGTTTTTTCGTTTCTATCGACATAGGTATGTATGTCGTTTTTTTCGACATAGGTATGTATGTCGTTTTTTCATTTCTATCGACATAGGTATGTATGTCGTTTTTTCTGGGTTTTATCGAAATAGGTATGTATGTCATTTTATTCGACATAGGTATGAATGTTGTTTTTCGTTTATATTGAAATAGGTATGTATGTTGTTTTTATCGACATAGGTATGCATTTTGTTTTTTCGTTTTTTGACATAGGTATGTATGTCGTTTTTTCTGGGTTTTATCGAAATAGGTATGTATGTCATTTTATTCGACATAGGTATGAATGTTGTTTTTTCGTTTATATTGAAATAGGTATGTATGTTGTTTTTATCGACATAGGTATGCATTTTGTTTTTTTGTTTTTTGACATAGGTATGTATGTTGTTTTTTTCGTTTTAATCGACATAGGTATGTATGTTGTTTTTTCGTTTTTATCGACATAGGTGTGTATGTCATTTTGTCGGGGTTTTTTCGACATAGGTATGTATGTTGTTTTTTTCGTTTTTATCGACATAGGTATGTATGTTGTTTTTTTCGTTTTTGTCGACATAGTTGTGTATGTCATTTTGTCGACATAGGTATGTATGTCATTTTTTCATTTTTATCGACATAGGTATGCATTTTGTTTTTTCGGGGTTTTCTCGACGTAGGTATGTATGTCGTTTTTTTCAGGTTTTTTTCGACATAGGTATGTATGTCGTTTTTTCTTTTTTATCGACATAGGTATATATGTGGTTTTTTCGTTTTTATCGTCATAGGTATGTATGTCACTTTATTCGACATAGGTATGTATGTCGTTTTTTCGTTTTTATTGACATAGGTAAGCATTTTGTTTTTTTCGTTTATATTGAAATAGGTATGTATGTTGTTTTTATCGACATAGGTATGTATGTCGTTTTTTCGGGTTTTTTTTGACATAGGTATGTATGTATGTCGTTTTTTCGGGGGGTTTTTGACACAGGTATGTATGTATGTCGTTTTTTCATTTTTATCGACATAGGTATGTATGTCATTTTTTCATTTTTATCGACATAGGTATGTATGTCGCTTTATTCGACATAGGTATGTATGTCGTTTTTTCGACATAGGTATGTATGTCATTTTTTCATTTCTATCGACATATGTATGTATGTCGCTTTATTCGACATAGGTATGTATGTCGTTTTTTTCATTTTTATCGACATAGGTATGTATGTCGTTTTTTTCATTTTTATCGACATAGGTATGTATGTCATTTTTTCATTTCTATCGACATAGGTATGTATGTCGTTTTTTCGACATAGGTATGTATGTCATTTTTTCATTTCTATCGACATAGGTATGTATGTCGCTTTATTCGACATAGGTATGTAAGTCGCTTTATTCGACATAGGTATGTATGTCATTTTTTCAGTTTTATCGACATAGGTATGTATGTCGTTTCTATCGACATAGGTATGTATGTCGTTTTTTCATTTCTATCGACATAGGTATGTATGTCATTTTTTCGACATAGGTATGTATGTCATTTTTCCATTTTTATCGACATAGGTATGTATGTCGCTTTATTCGACATAGGTATGTATGTCATTTTTTCAGTTTTATCGACATAGGTATGTATGTCGTTTCTATCGACATAGGTATGTATGTCGTTTTTTCATTTCTATCGACATAGGTATGTATGTCATTTTTCCGACATAGGTATGTATGTCATTTTTCCATTTTTATCGACATAGGTATGTATGTCGCTTTATTCGACATAGGTATGTATGTCGTTTTTTCGACATAGGTATGTATGTCGTTTTTTCATTTCTATCGACATATGTATGTATGTCGCTTTATTCGACATAGGTATGCATGTCGTTTTTTCGTTTTTATTGACATAGGTAAGCATTTTATTTTTTCATTTCTATCGACACAGGTATGTATGTCGTTTTTATCGACATAGGTATGTATGTCGTTTTTTCATTTCTATCGACATATGTATGTATGTCGCTTTATTCGACATAGGTATG